CCACGTTTCCTTCGTCGGGGTTGCCTTCGTCCTCGAGTTCGGCTTGCGTGCGGCTCATGACGAATATTTTTCCGGGGGCACTGTAATTTCCTTGATTGTTTGCGCCTCCGTGTTGGCCTGTGGCCATAGGGCGTGAGCTCGAGGGTTGAGTGCAGTAGAAGGCTTTGTGCCCTTCCTTCCCACAATTGAAGCATCGTAAGGGATTCCCCATGCAGTCCCTGCCCCTATGGGTTTGGTGGCATTTTGGGCAAGGGAAGCCCCCTGTATTAGCTTCGTTGTTTCTTGGGGGGTGGCCTCTGTCCAGCGGGGTTGCTTGGCCTTGTGTTGGTGTCGGTTCTCATTCTTTTCATTGGTGGTGCCCCTCCTCCTGTGTTCCTCTTTCGAATCTGATCTTGAACCCCATGTTGTAGCAGTTGGATTCGGTAGAGATTGGCGGCACTGGAGTAAGCTTCGTTGAGGGTCCGGGGTCTGCTTACTATTAGTGCTTTTCGGGCTTCGAAGTTGAGACCCGATATAAACCTTTCTATTTTGGTTGATTATGTGGGGACTAGCTCTGGCGCGAAGCGTGCTAGTTCGAGGAATCGTTTATGGTATTCAATGATGGTAGTCGTTCCTTGTTTTAGGTGGAGGAACTCCTCGTGCATAGAAGCTTTTACATGCGTCGGGTAGAATCGTTCTCGCAAGCGTGTTTTCAGGTGTTCCCAGTTGAATCCTGGTTCTTGTCTGTAAGTGGGTCCCTCGTGGATCCACCAAAGGTCTGCCTCGTGTCGGAAGTAGAACGAGGCTATCTCTACACGTCGTTCTTTCGGGCATTCTACCAACCTCAGAATCTTGTCGAAGGTCCATATCCATTCTTCGAGGGCGGCGAGATCTTCTTCTCCCGAGAACGTGGGTGGCCGATGGCTTGAAACTTGTCGGGCGACTTCTGCGTTTGCATTTGGTGGAGTGGGTGGTGGCCTATTGTTGCGGAGGGCTACGTCGCTTAGTGCTTGGGCGACCTGGGTGAGTTGTTGTAGGGTTTGAGTCAGGGGGTCGTGTGTGGCGGGTTCCGGAGTCCTTGATTGTCTTCTGTTTGGTGCCATGTTGCTTGATCTATAGAGCCAATGTTTATAATGATTTAGAGAGTTGTACTCTTACCTTGGCGTGATAAGTGAAGGGGGGTTCTTTAAATTAGGGAGGGATTTAAAGTGAGGGGAGGTTATGTGTAGGCTTCACAATCTTGTCGTGTGTCCTAAGATTCCGAAGTCCTATGTTCCTAAATACCTAGAGTTCCAGTGTAATGTCCTAAGGTCTGGTCCTTAAGGGTCCTATCCTTGGATCAAACTTAGGCTCTAATACCAACTGTAACACCCCGGAATTTTGAAACTTTTAAAACTTATGTAACAAAGGTAATTTCTCATTAAGTCCCTAAAGTAAACATAAGAGTACGGGGTGCTATGCCACACCTGAGTTAGAGAGCTCAGGTGCACAGTCAAACTAACTAAAATCCTCAAAGTAAAGTCAGTACATGAACATGGCACGCAGGCTGAAAAGGGGAAACTAACTACTCTACGCTTCAGGTCTCTAGCGCGCTCCGGTGTCTACTCAGCTGTGCCTGAAAGCCAAATATATCTGTTCAGCGAGAGATGCTGGTAACCCACTCCAAAGCGTTGAAATACATTATAGATAGATATATATAGATATACGAAAATCATTTTGAATCAGGAAGATATATACTTAAGAGGCACTAGTTTCAAAACCAGGAATGGACTCAGCAAATAGGGTAAGCAGACACACAATAATAATAGAATCATCATAAAGGATATGCAACTAAGGTCACAGTATATGTCCACATCAATCATATCATCATTTAATCATCATTCAATCATCATTCAATTATCATTCACTCATCATTTCAATTATCATTCAATCATCATTTATGACACTCAATCACACTGCTCTGGCGCCACGGGACCAATCGCATGTCCCGAACATGAGGGTTACTGCGTATAGCATTAACACGGTCCCGCAGCACCCTTCCTCATACCGCGGCATGAAGGGAGTTGATCGCAACCAACCCATAGAGGACCGCTGACGAACTCAACGTCGTACCACAATTCGACACACCGCTGACGCGCACAGTCGGTGGACCGTGATCCCCTTTACAAGGGGGGACTTACGACCCTACACACCGTTGATGCGTACAGTCGGTGGACCGTAGCGGATCAATCCCGACACACCGCTGAGCTAGACTCAGTCGGTGGGCAAAGATCCTCGGAGACTACAACCCTACACACCGCTGTCCCATCACTCGGTGGATCGCAGCTAGCCATAGCCCTACACACCGCCTGATTACTCAGGTCGGTGGACTACAGCCTTCCTCGTTTTCTTGGCCCTACACACCGCCTGGCGCATCCAGGTCGGTGGGTCATAGCACCGAGGCCCATGTGGACCGCAGCCCAAGAAATGAGTCAATTCGGCCTTCAGCCGACTTCTGAGCCTTAGCTCAGGAATAATCCATTTGGCCTTCAGCCAATTCCGAACCTTTAGTCCGGGAACAATCCAATCGGCCTTCAGCCGACTTCCGAACCTCAGTCCGGGAATCACCCAATTGGTCTGTAACCAAAATGGGGGATCATGCAACACATAACACATAGGAGCACGTAATAGCATTTTGGGAGGGGAAGACAAATAAATAAACTTACGTGTGGTTGTTCACATACTAAGAATAGTCCTAAGGGCTCATACAACTTCCACCTAGGTCAACGGGTTACCAATTCTACTAGCATGCAATCCCTAAGACTCATTTAACCTACGAATGGTTCCCGCAACATCAAACTACACTCAAGCACGACAAACGTGGTCCGTTGGGACACCATGGGGGAGCGGGGAACATCAAACGGGGAAGCCGAAGACCTGTGGTGGGGTACGGACCAGCGGGTAGCCGATGGGTGGGGGTCACCCGCCGGCTGCCCGCCGGAGGGCACGGTTCCGGGCAGCGGGTTGCCGGCGGGCAGACGGCTGCCCGCTGCCGGGTGGTGTCCTTCGGGCAGCGGGTAGGTGGCGAGTTCCCCTACCCCCCCACTGACTTTTTTCTCATATATTCGTCCCGGGAACCTTTGTGGAACCCGAAACCATGCTTAGACACTTTTAAACGCGAATAACGACACCACGTAGGCAATTAACGAATCAAAAGCAAGAATCACGTATGACTCATCCTATCACGACTTCTAAATATAAACAACACCCGAATATGCGAATTCCCATCCAAATATGTATCAAGAACATCCCAACACAAATCCCCAATTCAACCTAGGGCTCTAATCCCACCCAAATCATCAAGATCATATTTTACCTTTAACATCAAGAAATATCAAGATTCGTCAAGAATTATCACATCAATATCAAGAACTTCTTTTCAACATCAAGATTATCAAGATTATCAAGAAAGCACATAGATCATCTTATCAATCATCAAGAACATATCACAATTAACATAGAAGAATTTATCAAGACACAAGAATGTAGAGAGAGGCCAAAGGAGGAGATTATAGCGAAGAAAATAGGTTTTGTTGAGACAAGGGTTACCTCTTAGCCTTAATTAATTTCCTTGGCTATGAAGGGTCTTTCTTTAAGATTTCTCCTTTCTTGATTTCTCCTTAGGGAATTCTTGGAACTTCTTGTGTGGTGAGAGATTATTTGTGGTGTGAGTTCTAGGTGCCTCTTATGTCCCTATTTATATATCTAAGAGTCATATTTAGGATCAAAATGGTATGGGCTTAGCTAATTCTATTTCCTATAGGACTAAGGGTTGGATTTTGGGATAAGGGCCCATGGACTATGGTGGACCCCTCTTTAGCTAATTAATGGATTTTAATTCCCTTTTGAGGGTGAGTAGTTAATTAATTAATTTAGTTTAGGGGTCGTAACACGGGGTGTTACACAAACGATTCCGAATGAAAGTGACTGCAATTCAGGAAAACACAGGCTGGGAGAAGAAGAGTGTGTGAGGGCTTATGGGCAATCTACATACCTATGAACTTCAAGTGCTAGCTGATGATGATTCTGCAGTCAACAAAAAAGGCAAGTCAGTGGCTTTTGGTGCTGAAGCTGATCGAGAATCTGACACAGATGACATAGATGATGAAGCGTTAACCTTGCTAACAAAAAATTTCAAGAAAATACTGAAAGGTTTCAGTCGAAAGATCCAAGGACAACCTAACAGAACACAGTACAAAAGTGGAAACTCCTCATTTCAGAAAACAGAACCATCCTCCTTCACACAGAACAGTCAGTCCCAGACTGGCCGAACAAGGCAAATCAGAAGTACGCCAACAGACACGGTTAGAACTCTAAACCGATCAGTGCAATGTCGAGAGTGTGAAGGATTCGGACATATACAATCTGAGTGTGCAACATATCTCAAAAGGAAGAAAGCTATGTCTGTGGCGACCCTAAGTGATGATGAAGAGGAAGCAACAAATGACCAGTCTGATGATAATGTGGGACATTTCGTAGCGTTCTTCACAGCTACAGACAATCAATCAGAAAAGAATGAAACTGATGAAGAATCGTACATATCAGATGATTTTGAAGAGAGACATATTCAACTAGAAATGGAATTTGCTAAACTAGTTGGAAGTTGGGAACAACTGGTAAACATAAACAAGAATCTGAATGAAGATCTGATGCAGCGAGATGAACTCCTGAAGAAACTAAACACTGAGCTAGTCACAAAAGAAGATCTTATTACTCAGATACGATCTCGAGAGGGAAAGCTGATAAAAGAACTGGAGGACCTGAAGAAGAACATCAAGATGATGGATACTACTTCTACTTTAGACAAAATTCTGGATTCGGGTCGAAATCCAAATGATAGAAAGGGACTCGGGTTTGAACGATGACAGTCCTCGAAGACAGCACCTGTGTTTATCAAAGAAGGTACATCAGTGGGTAACTCAGTGCATAGTTATGAACAAGGTCAATCATCACGGTCAATTCAGACAAATCAGAAAGGCACCATGCACACTCGGATTACTGAGACTGAGTCTGGCAGGGTCAAATTTCAATCTCAGTACTCAAGGTTCAAGAATAAGTTTGTAAAAGTTAGACAATATGTACCCATTTGTCACTACTGTCAAACAAAAGGACACACCCGACCTGAATGTTATTTCTTCTACAGAGATCAGAGGAAGGAGAAATATCAGAACAAGTCTATTACTCCCTTCACAAGACAGGTTTGGGTGAGGAAATCAGAAGTAATATGCTATCCCACAATCGTTCTGACCGCCTCTATGACTGAAGCAAAATGGTATTTCGACAGTGGGTGTTCCAGACATATGACTGGGAATGTCAAGTGTCTCATGGCTGTTCAACCCAACAGTGGATCAGTTACGTATGGGGGCGGCCAAAAGGGAAGATAGTTGGAAAATGTACTCTAAATGTGCCAGGGTTGCCACATTTGGACGAAGTTTTCCTAGTCAGTAGGTTGAAAGCAAACCTTATTAGCATCAGTCAGCTATGTGATCAGAATTGGAATGTGTGCTTCAATTGAGACTGCTGTAGAGTCTGTGATAAAGCAAATCAAGTTGTGATAGAAGGAACTGACTCTTCTGACAATTGTTATGTTCTGTCAAATGAAACTACTTGTCTAATACCTAAAACAAACGAGTCAAAACTGTGGCATCGACGATTGGGACACATAAACTTCAGAGACATGGACAAAATGATTAAATTATATGCTATACGTGGGATACCTAAACTCAAAATAGAACAGGAAGGAGTTTGTGGTGCGTGTGCCATTGGGAAGCAAATAAGAGCTCCTCACAAAGCAGTAAAGATAATCACTACTGAGAAATGTCTAGAACTGGTTCATATAGACCTTATGGGACCAACTCAGACTGAAAGCATTGGCGGAAAGAAATACATCTTTGTGTGTGTAGATGATTTCTCTCGGTTCAATTGGGTATACTTTCTGAGAGAAAAGTATGAGGCATTTAATGCCTTCAAAACTCTATGCATAAGAGTACAAAAAGAAAAAGACGAGCCCATTATAAAAATCCAAAGGCTGAGAAGTGATCATGGAAAAGAATTTGAGAACTCCTTATACTAAGATTTCTATTTAGAAAATGGGATAGCTCATGAGTTCTCTACTCCTCGAACTGCATAACAGAATGGTGTTGTGGAAAGAAAAAATCAGACCTTACAGGAAATGGCAAGAGTAATGTTACACGCATCTCATCTGCCACAACATTTCGGGGTTGAAGCAGTGCACACAGCGTGTCATACAGTCAATAGAGTCTATCTCAGACCAAGTACGTCTCAGACACCATATGAAATATGGAATGGAAGGAAGCCAAACTTGAAGAACTTCCATGTATTTGGAACAAGATGTTATGTTCTAATTGATAGGGAACTAAGAGGAAAATTTAAACCCAAGAGTGATGAGGACATCTTTCTTGGAAACTCTCCAAACAGTCAAGCTTATAAGATTTACAATAAAAGAACTCAATCAATCATGGAATCAATGAATGTTGTTATAGATGATAATCCAGAAGAAGCATATGAAACTATTGTTATTGATCCAGAGACAGATCTCCCTATTAGTGATTCGTCAAAAACATCTGATAAAATCAAATTGTCTGACACACATGATTCATCTGAAGAAGATAAAGATAGCCCTGAACAAGAAAATTCTCTCTCGGATGGTGATGGTAAGAATAAGCCCACCAGAACTCAGAAAAATCATCCATCAGACAACATAATTGGTAATCCAACAGATGGAATGCACACCAGAAGCCGGATGAGAAGCAATCTGATAGAAATATCCGGCTTTGCCTGTTACACCTCCAAAATAGAGCCAAAAAATGTGAAGGAAACCTTGCAGGATGACTTATGGATTAAGGTAATGCAAGAGGAGCTACATCAGTTTGAACGAAATCATGTATGGGATCTGGTACCAAGACCTGACCATGTTAACGTAATCGGAACAAAGTGGATCTTCAAAAATAAAACTGATGAAGTAGGTAATATTGCAAGAAACAAGGCTCAGTTAGTTGTTCAAGGATATACTCAAATAGAGGGAATTGACTATGATGAGACGTTTGCTCCTGTTGCAAGACTGGAGTCAATCAGAATCTTATTGGCAGTAGCTTGTATTCTGGCATTCACACTGTTTCAGATGGATGTCAAGACAACATTCTTGAATGGCTATCTGCATGAAGATATTTATGTGGCACAACCTAAAGGATTTGAAGATCCAGTTCACCCTACTCATGTCTACAAGCTCAGAAAAGCTCTCTATGGACTCAAACAAGCTCCAAGGGCATGGTATGAACGTCTGACACAGTGTCTGTTGCATCATGGGTATAATCGAGGTAGTGTTGACAAAACTTTATTTGTTAAAACCACTGGAAGTCATGTTACTATAGCTCAGATTTATGTCGATGACATTGTTTTGGATCCACACTACAGAAATATACTGATGACTTAGTGAAAGTTATGAAAGACAAATTTGAAATGTCCATGGTTGGTCAACTGACTTACTTTCTAGGACTTCAAGTTAAAAGAGTCATGAAGGATACTTTATCTCTCAAGAAAAGTATGCTAAGAATTTAGTCAAAAAGTTCGATCTCGAATCATGCAAAACACCAGGACTTCTATTTCCACCTCCACAAAGATATCAAAAGATAATACTGGTCCATCAGTTGATATCACAGTCTATCGAAGTCTGATTGGAAGTCTGCTCTATTTAACCGCCAGTCGACCAGATATAATGTTTAGTGTTGGGATGTGTGCAAGATATCAATCTGATCCCAAAGAGTCACACTTGATAGCTGCTAAACGGATCTTGAAATATATCAAGGGTACAATTCAATATGGGATATGGTATTCCAAGGACAGTGAACTCAGTCTGATTGCATACTGTGACGCTGATTGGGCAGGAAATATTGACGACAGAAAAAGTACATCAGGTGGATGCTTCTTTGTTGGTAAAAATTTAGTATCATGGCTAAGCAAGAAACAGAATTCAATCTCTCTAAGTACAGCTGAGGCAGAATATATAGCAGCGGGAGGATGTTGCACTCAACTGGTCTGGATGAAGCAAATGCTTCAAGATTATGGTCTCACTCAAAGGACTATGACACTTTACTGTTACAATGTCAGTGCCATAAACATTTCAAAGAATCCAGTTCAACATTCCAGGACCAAGCATATTGATATAAGGCATCACTATATCAGAGATTTGGTAGAATCAAAGGAGATAAAATTGGAATATATTCAAACAGATAAGCAATTGGCAGACATACTGACTAAGCCTCTAGATGCAAACCGGTTTGAGATTCTCAGATCTGCTCTGGGGATCTACAGGATTTATCAGTAAGGCAGAACAGTAGCATAGAAGGAGAGTGTATGATGTTCTCAATCTCGAGTCAAAATTACATCTTTGACTTCCTTTTTTATCTCTCTTCTATTTTTGTTAACATAATATCTTAACCTTGATTACCAAAATTAAATTGTCCCATTCAAATTTCAAATCTTCCGTTTCATCCCTAAAAAGGAGTTATACCGTTGCGTCAATCACATCACAGCTGCATGCATTCTAACAGCCGCATTGAACAGTGTTCATCACCCTTGGGATTATATATTTCTTCTGATCAATATTAGTAGAAGAAGAGTTCTAAGCACTACTCTGTTCTCTGTTAATCCTCTACTGGTTCTCTGCCTAGGGTTTCCATTCTCTTCCCCAAATCTCACAAAAATGGCCGATGCAATAAGGAATATCATTATCAAGTTGGGAAGGAAAATCCACACACCAGAAAACGCAACGAAGCATGTGAAAACTCTCCTCCAACTTGCAATGAAAAAGAAGTTGAAAATGGACTCTGCTCTCCATGATGAGATCATTGTGACGGTGATTTCAAATTACCCTGAGTTCTATACAGACTGGTCGGATGATGATACAAGCGATCTTCTGATGATGGCCTCAGAAGCAAGTGACGATGATAGCCCTGCCTCCATTGCTGAACCTGAAGATGGAAACCGAGCTGGGGCTTTCCTCCAGTATTTTGCCTAAAGAGCTCTGGAATCGGAAGAAGTCTCGCGTCAAATGGCAGAGGCCCGTTCTCTCTACCTTCAAGCTGCACAGGACGAAGCCAAACATCGTCTTGAGATTCTACGAAACAGGTTCAATACTTCTGAAACCCCTATCGAAATTTCTCCTGATAAGCCTGCTGATTTACTTTCTGATGATATTGAGTCTGCTCTGGCCGTTACAAAACCTGATACTGAACTGAATAAGCCCGCAAAAGTTGTTCTTGACAGTGAGTCGGAGGAAAAAGGTCAAAAATCTGATAAGGTAGATAATTTGAGTCTAGTTGTTTATTCTGCTGATATTGTGCACTCTACGCTTTTTGCTGGTCCTGTGTCTGATGTTATTAAGTCCACAAATGAGGTTTGCCAAGTTGATAGTCACATAAGGTATCCGCTGAGATTGAAGCTGAAAATCTATAAGCCCGCGTCCTTCTGATTCGATTGATGGTGTTCCTGTCTATACATCCACTACTTTGGCTGAGAGTCTTGATCACATTCGACACTTTGCGGGTTTACCCTCTTCCTCTGTGCCTAAACCATACAGAGTTATTCCTCCTGTTGATCCTTCTGGGCCGATAGATAGTGATGATGAGAAAATCCTAGATGAAGTATACGGTCCTCATGCCCCATCCTCTGGTCCCATTAGGCCCCTTACAGTGGAAGAGACAGCACATCCGGATTCCACTACCTTAAGAATTAGAGAAGTCTCCAAACTTCTTGGATCTTCATCTACTCTTGTGTCTGAGACAAGCAACTCAGTTTCTCCTAACCTTACTGATCATTCTCCTGCTAGAGAAACAAGGAAATCCAAACGCAAAGGTAACCCAGAAAGAGTAGCTTTGGAAACTGGTGATGATAATATTGAGACTGTTCAACCAGAGAAAAGACGAAGATCAGCCGAGTCAGTGCAGGCTGTGAGTGACCCACTAGTCCAGCAAGTGTTTAAAACCTTGAGGTTGTCAGTCAAGACTAAGGCTCCTGCTACTGTTTCAACCATTGCTACCAAGAAAATGAAAGCCACAACCCGGTCAAGAGGAAGGAGTGTCGCCCCTGATGTACATGCTGCGTCTGACAGCACGACACCTCCATTTACAAGCCACAGTTTGTTTCTGCAACAGCTCAAGGAAAGTGGTCCAGCCACTATGGTGAGACGGGAGCTTATTGTTTAGAGATCAGTTGATGAGAATCAATTAAATTCTGTCTGTGATATTTTACCCCTGTTGAGTGAGGTTGGCCTTCTGAAGACTGTAAATTCAATTTGTCCCTACTCGAAGCTGTTGACCTACGAGTTTTATTGCAATCTGAATGAAGAAATTGACAACCTTACGGGAACACGGTGCCAGCAGATTTTCATCAGAGGAAAGTGGTATGTATTCGGCCCATACATGATTAATGACTACTATGGCTTGAAGGTTGTTGACGAAGAAGAAATTACAGACTAGGATTTGGTTGCTAGAACTCTCACTGGTGGTCAGACTCCAGCATGGCCTACAGGTGATCCTGACACCATGTCAAGCTCAGTGTTTACCTCTAAGTATGTTATCCTGCACCGTATTGCGCTGCACAATTAGCTCCCTTCTGCACACTTTCATACTATAGGGAAGCAACTAGCTGCTCTTCTGTTCAGAATCGGCACCAAGATGTCAATTGATCTGGGAAGATGGATCTTCTATCACATTCTCACCCTGATTCATCCAAGAGAACAAAAGGTAAGACTGCCTTATCCCAATCTCATCTTTGGCATTCTGACGTCACAGCGCCTGGTACCAATGCCAAGTGAGATTATTAATCCATCTCTGCTCTATACTGTTGATCTGCGACTTTTGATTGGCAAGCATATCCGGGATGTTACACCAGTTCATGATCCTCCATCATCTGAAGCTGACACTACTGTTCAGGACTCGCCACATGCTAGAGATGTGCAGTTATCCCTACGTCTGAAGGCTCGAGTGTCTGAGCTAGAGACCGTGAATAGCATTATCACGAATCAGCTTAATGCAGCCCGTACTGAACTTGCGACTGTTTTGCTCCGATTGAGCTTGACTGAGTCTGCTGCTGCTGAGAATGTGAAGTCAGAAAGTGAAGGTCCCTCGAATGCTTAATGATTCCTTTGTCTATCTTTGGCAAAAAGGGGGAGTGCCTAAACTCAGGGGGAGTTTTTGTTGTTAGTATCTTCTGGCCCTGTCTGGGCGTGTTTTTGTGATGGCCCCATTGTGAAGAATATTACCTATTTTCGTCTAGCACGGCTTGTGTGCTGTTATTTTTAAGGGTTGTATGTCGGACTTTATTCCCTTTATGCGACAGTTGTTCTCTTTTATATCTTTAGCTAAATGTTTGGTTCTTAGTCGAGTTGTTTTGCCAAATAATAGCCAAAGGGGGAGTTTGTTAGTGTTTTATTTGTTTAAAAACCCCAACATATAATTGGCAATATTATTATGGCAAATTAAGATATGGTTTAGCTTGGTGTCTATTTTCTCTTAAAGAAGACTGATTGATCAGGTTCATAAACAGACGCATGACACTGAAGATCTGATAAAGGAAGATATTTCCAAAAATGCTTAACGCGATTTGAGAAGACAATTTTGGAAATAATATCAGCGGATCTGTTTTGAAAGGTATGGACCGATTCTTAAAGATTGCATTCTTCACAAATAGTCCTACCATCTACAATCAAAGATATTTTTCGAAAGTGTTCTTCCAAGGAAGTATAAGTATCCTCTTTCGGTCAAGAATTAGGGTTACAAGTTTAAGAAGGCAAAAACACTCCATGCTACACAGAAACATACATCTTTGATTATCATGTCTCTTCTCAAGATAATGAGTTCTTGGTGATTATGAAGAAGAACTTGAGAAGAACCAACGTTGCTTAATCGAAAGGACGCGAAGATCACTCAGTTGTGGGAACAACATGGGACTGCGTCATTGAAGCGGACTGCATCAGAGTTAGCTCTCCAATTGACGGGATTTCATTGTACTTCTGCATGCGTGGCTCTCCAACTTCAACAATCCACTAAACCTTTGTAGACTGGGTACGTACCTTGTGTGGGGCACTTGGGTGAGATTATATTTTCTCTACCTTTGTACATTGGATTATGAGTTAGTGGATTGGACGCCTCGGTGATCGTCCCCCAGATGTAGATACACACTGTATCGAACTGGGTAAACATCGTATGTGTTGTTTTATTATCTGCTCTAGTTTTCCTCCATAAACTAATCCGCAATCTAACTAACGGTCTGACTATTCACGTCTCTGAATCAGTCAGTCCAGTATACCAGTCGATTATCTCTAATAATAATCTTAATCTGAGGAAATGCAAAATTATAACAACAACAACAACAACAACAACAACAACAACAACAACAATAATAATAATAATAATAATAATAATAATAATAATAATAATAATAATAATAATAATAATAATAGTAATAATAATAATAATAATAATATATTTTGTACAAGGGCATTTATGTCTTTTAAACATATATTCCTTTTATATTCTTTAACCAACCAAACGTTGGAATACAATTCCAAAAGTTTATTCCTTCAGCGAACCAAACAACAGAATACAATTCTTATTCTATTCCTTACCTATTCTATTCCCTATGGAATAGCATTCATATTCCCTCCAAATTGGTTCTGTGAACCAAACGGGCCTCAAAAGCGGTGGTCGAATGGGTAGAGTATGAATTGTGTACCTTGTCACAAAAAAAAAATAAATTCTTGCCATCGTTTCTTGCATGGTTTGTAAGATAAGAGTGGTGTTTACTCAGTAGACAAAATTAGTTAGTGGCTACGGGTTTCCCTCATCATCACATCACATAAATAATAATAATAATAATAATAATAATAATAATAATAATAATAATAATAATAATAATAGTACAATACAATTCATTTTCTATTGAAATATAAATTAAATAAACATGTTAAATTTCATATTTAAAAATCTTAAATTTTCTATTTATGTTTTAATATTTAAAGCATTGCAATTTATTAAAGAAAAAAAAAATGACTTCAATTCATTTTCTATTGAAATATAAATTAAATAAACATGTTAAATTTCATATTTAAAAATCTTAAATTTTCTATTTATGTTTTAATATTTAAAGCATTGCAATTTATTAAAGAAAAAAAAAATGACTTGGATTTAGTTTTACCAATTCAGACGAAGTGAATCTTTGAAATTGTGGGGAGTGAATCATAAGATTGTCTACAGCATCCAGTGCAATGAAGAAAATGTAAAAGAAAAAGCAAAACCAAGTAACTTAACAAAAGAATTGGGAAATTAAAGTAATTAGATACCTTTTCTTCATACTTCAAATATACTCAAAGTATAACCAATAAAAATAAAAATAAAAAAGCATTATTAGTTAAACAAATGACTGGAAAGATAGAACTTGCTAGTTCCTGCTCTTTTTCTGTTTTCTTCTAAACAAAAAGCATTCTCTTTTGCAAAGGAAATCATGACATCTTGTGTTTTGCTCTCTCCTGACGGTATTATTTGATATATGCTGAATCATTTAGGGTTCGTTAGAAAATGGGAAAATGATTTTGAAGTCATTTTTGGGATTTTTTTTTTCGTATTTTGGTATTCAAAGAAAATAAAGTCAAAAGAAAAATATTTACTCAAGTTAACGGAAAAATGTCTAATTTTATGAAAAATGTCTTCTAGATTTTTAGTTGAAAGACATTTTCTAGATTCTTTATTTTCTCGTCTCTCTCTTCTCCATCATCTCTCTTCAAGCTAGTCTCAAAATTATTATTACAACCACCATCACCACCACCACTACACCACCGTACCCTATTATTATATGTGAGAAAAGAAATCAATTTTAATTAAATATATCTATTGATGCTCCTTCACATTAGAACAATGAGAATTCTATAAGAGAAAAATATAAGAATCCGAAGAAAATTAAATTTAATTAGTAAAGGAACTTCGTCACTTCTAAAATTTCGTAAAGAGCTCCATCTTGAAGAGATCCATACTCAAGGGGGTCGGAAACCCCTAATAAGTTTATAGGTGCACCAAATAATCATAATGCTTGTGATGAGGAATGAATAGATATAAATATATTTGGAAAATGACAAGAATCTAGTTGAATTAGAAATTGTCATGAATATGAGAGTAATTTATAATAAAAATATAACAGTTGTCGACAACACACACATTTGCCTTTGCCTTTGCAATTGCTCATGTTATATGATAATCTGGACCCAGAACTTGAAACAATAGGGGAGCGCTAGAAGCATGAGCCATAGATATTCCAAATAGAAAAGAACAATTCAAATATAGCTTAGCTCACTAAGAAGAAATATATTATCTTTATAACATGTATACCAAAAAATATTATCCCTACGGGTTACAAATGGGTGTTCATATGATAGAGAAATGAGCATATATAATTAGGTGATGTGACATAAAAATAGATTATGAACATTAAAGGATGATTTTCCACTTTTTCCCAATATAAAAAGCACGCCAAAAAGCTAAGTTTTACGGAGCTCAAGTTAGACAACGGTTGGAAAATCTAATATGGACAACCTAACACACAAAACCATTAGTCATTACACATTGGATAAATACTACCCGTTTTGAATTTATTTTTGTCCAACGAAAGAGGTGTTGGTCGTTTTCATAAATTTTACAGGATCAGAGAAGAGTGGAGTAGACTCAGTTAGTCGAATCACTATAAAAGTTCTCTATCTCTCTTTTACTTTACCATATTTACTTTCGCGTTTACATTTACAAATCTCAAAATCTTAACAAGACAAAAATGTGCCATAAAATATTTAAAAGGGTATAACCTAGTTCCGCTGTATACTCTAACTTAAATTTTGACCAAGTAATTTGAAATACAACATCACTCTTCTTGGAGTAGTGACCAACTCTTAATTAATTTCCTAAGCTTTGCACCTAGAAAAGAAATTCAATATCACAACTCTATTCACCCGTCCTCTAGACTTGGTTACATACCATTCAGGAACAACACACACACATACACAAACATAGACACAGACACATACACACACACACACACACACACACACACACACACACACACACACAGGGGTAGGATCAAATGATCAGGCGAGAACATGGTCCTTCGGTAAAAAGTAAGGACTGATCCTAGCCACCCATCAAGAATTATCAATGGTTGAAGATTTTATAAAAATAAAAATAAAAAATACAGGGGTTAATTTTATAATTATTGAAAATTTTTAAAATTTTAATATTTATAAAAAGAACATCGCCCTTTTCTCTTATTTTCTAGCAACCCTCAATCGTTGATCTATCTAAATGGATGGATTAGATCAGCCTTCACTTTTTACGTGGGAGCATCTTCTCACCTGGATCTTCCCCTATATATGCGCATGTTTGTATGTGTGTCTATACTAAAGAGAGAGGGGTTAAGTGAAAACAATGCATTTTGTAAAATCTAGACTCGTACTAACCACCAACCCGAACCTATACCGTATCCTTTCATCATTTCCGTCCCAAAATCTCCATAAAATAATAATCTTTTCGTAGGATTATTATTATTGAATTTTACCAACGTTATATCCAAAACTACTAGTTCTGCAACTTGCACTACTAATTCACGTTCAGTATTGTTAATAATTTTAGTTTTTTAAGTTAATAATTATAGCAATATGTAGTGACAAATGGTTGGTTGTTGGGAAGATAATATAATGTTATTGTTGTTGGCAAATGGTTGACCTCAATTATGGCAATCCTACCAAGCTGATCAAACAGTTAGCTTGGTAATCATAAAATTTCTAAGTTCAACTTAGTATGAGAATTATCTATTGGTCTTCTTTATTTGAATAAGTCAACTCAAAGTCACAAGACGGTTTCACCCAGAGTGTACCTTGGAACACAATTCAAGAACTAAATAATGCTATATATGATTGTTGAGGCTATCATGGGAGAAAAACAATAGCTATACTTTTACATTATTGTCCCTTTAATATATTAATTATTACAAACTGACATTAGATTTTAACAACTAATTACCTTGTACTTAGATGACACCTTTGTGGTTCTCTTTCAGGGAAGATCATAGAATTGTTACACAATGGATTAAGGTTAGTTCACCTTTCATTATGAATTCTGGTTCAAAAATTATGTCTTTAGTTAATAAATTATGTGTTTGTAAATAAATTAAAGACATAATATATTAATTGCGGGTGCATTACTTTAATTTTCTCCAGCAATAATTGAAATATTAAGTTGGGAGGCACCATTTTAAACTTAATAGCAACTTCCAATATTTTATTTTATGCTGCACATTTTGATGGCCTCTGCCACTTGCACTACTAATTCAAATTTATAGGAATACTAGTTTTTTGCGCGCATTGCGTGATTGGAATAATGCTCAATGTTTTTTTTTTAAAATAAGTATTTTAAAGTATATTAAAGCAAGATTATATTGGAATGGTTCATGCATAAATAATTGAATGTTGAAATTTGCGTATTTAAATAGGTAATTCTAAGTTTACAAATGCAAGATAATATAGTCAAGATTGATTATAATTGTCAATAAAATAACTGTATAGGTATGGTTGAAACCAAATACAGGAAATAAGGGAGAGAAAATAAAAATTAGGGCAAAAAATATTAAATATATACTAATATTGAAGAGCTAACGGTTGATTACCAAACAAAGACATTGCGAGATAGTTTCTCACTTCAATTTGTTGTGTGATTTGAATACTCTTTTTGTCAATAAATTTTCCAAGTAGTTAATATGATTGGCTTATATATATATATATATATATATATATATATATATATATATATATATATATATATATATATATATATGTATATATATATATATATATATTAAAACAATTATTATTACTATTATTATTATTATTATTATTATTATTATTATTATTATTATTATTATTATTATTATTATTATTATTATTATTATTATGTCATTTTACATGTTAATCTAAACAACTAATGTTTTCAAATATCTTTTTACCAACCGAAATTTACTACTCAAATCCGCTAATATAATCCGCTAACGCTAACCGCTAACGGCTGATTGTCAAACAAGGACATTGCGAGGTAGTTCTCATTTCAATTTGTTGTATGATTTGAATACTCTCTTTGTCAACAAATCCCTCAAGTAGTTAATATGATTAGCTTTATTAATTGTATATATATTTTTAATTTTTTCATGGTATTAATAAAATACTTGGTAAATAAATATTAAACATTATTTTGTATTATAACTTTGATATTTAATTAAAAAATAGTGCACAAAAAACATAATAGATAATGTATTGAATATAATCAATTGATGAATTTGAATGTAAAGAATTTTAACATTGGAGAAAAATAAAGACAATACAACTAATAAAATTATTTCTCCTAATTAATTTATTGATAATGAATAATTATTTTTTAACAAAGACATTGTAGGGACAATATAGCGAATATAATCAATTGATGAATCTGAATTTAAAGAATTTTATATTGGAGAAAAATAAAGACAATATAACTAATGGAATTATTTCTCTTATTTAATTTATTGATAATGAATAATTTTTTTAATAAAGACATTGTAGACACATAATTCTAAATTAAAGAAATGCATATCTATTATTTTTTTTTGTAGCTACTAAATTATTATTATTTTATTTAATTTAATAAGAGTAAAATAAAGTACTAATTATGCCAACTTTGATTGGGATGAGGTTCAAACCTAAGATCTTACTTATTGAAATCAATGAGTAAGTTAACGGTGAACTAACAGAAATTAACGGAAAATATAATATTTAACGGAAAAGTTAACGGATAGTCATATTCATTAAGAATAAATTAGGAAATCTAAAGGAAAAATTAAAATCTGATCAATCTGAGCCATTCTTTTGATTAAAAAATTTGACAGTCATTTTTTCTACCCATTATAGGTCTAACTCTCTTAGGCTCTTAAACAAAATGCTCGGCAGCTACGTTACGTACGTTGGGATGAAATTGGAATGAAAGGAATAAAGGTCAAATTGACCATTGAACGTACGCGAAAGTGCAATTAGGTCACCGAACAAAAAAAAATAAAAAAATAAAAAACAATTACATCAGTCAACAAGTTAAATGTGTGTAATTTCACCTACCAGCCAATTTTCTCCCCTACCTCTGGTTACCTATTTACGTGGAGGTTGAGTTTATTGGCTTTTTTTTCCGTATTTTCTTTTCTTCCATTCCTTTTCTTCAAAGATTAGCAAGTAGCTGCAGAAGAAGGGAATGATGCCTAGCTATTGGCATTAGTGTTTGGTAAAATAGTTAGCATATCAATCAATTTTGACTTATTTGACCATTATTAACTATTTGACTTAGTTAAACAATCAATATGAATTTTTGATTAATTAGGTTTTTGTAAAAACTTATTGTTCCAAAATGCTACAATTTAAAAAGCTGTTTAAACTAACTTTTTCGATAAGCTTTTTTAGTAATTAGCCAACAACGTAACTAACAGCTAATTTACCAAACACTTTTCTACAATTAGCTAATGTTATCAACTAGTCAAACCCACTAACTCAATCAACTAACAAACACTCCCTTTGATCTTATCACTAGACTTCAATTCACATCACTTGGAGCCCCATTTTCAACTGAATCAGCAGCTGGTTTACTGAGCTACTCCACCTTAATTGATGTAGAAGAAGATGACCCTGATTTGTGCATTCACTTTAAATCCATCATTAACTCCCTGAGACATAGCTAAGAATGTGCACTTTTGACATGACTTGGACAAAAATGTGTTGATTAAAAACCCTAGACTAAAATATGTAAAGTACCAATGTCATTACCTTCTTTTCAAAACCCTATTTGAAAAGAAGGTAATAAAACTTCTTTTATTCTTCTTGCTTTGACCGTCCAAGCCTCACAAAAGAAGGGAATTACTTTGCCTTCTTTTCACTTTGTTTAATTAAAAAGTTCATTATTGCCTTCTTTACTAATATATTAATTATTTAGAATTGCAAATACCATTAATTTGTTTAATATATGTGATTATATGATCTTCAAAGCAATTAAAGAATTGATAATGCTCTTCCTAACTGCAATTTTCGGTTGTTTTTGATTTGGCTACGAAGAAGAAGCAATGATATGGTGAAAGAAGGATATGTGCATTTTTCATCTTCTACCTCCAGTATTTATGCTAGAAGAAGGAGAAAATATTTTGAGGAAAAATTAAATAAAGAGAGAAGAGGTAGTTGGAACAACCTCTTCTTTCTCTCAACGTGCGTAAATCTCAAAAAAAAAAAAAAAAAAAGTATTTCTCTCTCCTCCCACCTGCGCATTCAATGAGGAGAGAGAAGGCAGTTTTGTTTTTTTTTTTTTTTTTGGTATAAGAAGGTAACTTAATTGGTTACCTTCTTCTTAAAAACCCTAATGAGAAGAAGGTAATCAGCTTAGTACTTTACATATTTTTATTCACCTTTTTATTTCTACACATTTTTTTCTTTTGCTTTTCAAATCTGCACTAAAAAGTCAATCACCCCTCCTATCCAAGTGTATTGCCAAATTAAAGTTGGGATTCTCAATATATATAGGCTCCTGAATTCTCACCAGCCGCTGTGCATAGGACTCTGACCGGTCTTTCCTTTCTCTTACTATTATCCTCCCAGCAACAGATAAATCACAATCAAACCACGTATGCTAGAGACCACCTCCATATGTTTGTACACCAACTTTTAGATAACCACCTTTGTAGTCGGCTTTAGTTTCCATCGTTCGAAGCTACAATGCTATTTGGGATCCCAAGATCAAAATAATTCCCTCTCCGGCGAGGGAATGATTCTTTTTCCCTAGCATTCACTTCATCACTAAAACCCTGGACAAGAGTTATATATAGACTATAAATAAATTTATGGACATTCAATTCTTTACTAAATTAAATACACGTACCAAGACGCGGATGGTGCTTTCGTGGCGGCCAAGAAAGGCCCTCTACCATTGTGTCAGGGACCTTTTATGGCGGAAGCCTATGCGTGTAACACTACTGGAAATTATGGAATTTTCGACCACCTGAAAGTGATCTTAAATCAAGTTGTACGGTGGATTAATGTGCGTGAGGTTTATACTTAATGTGCGTGAGTGTTATGCTTAATGTGCCTGAGATTTGTACTGCGTAATGTTAATGTGCCTAAGTATTGTGATTAATATGCGTAAGATTTGTGCTTAATGTGCGTGAGTAGTTCAGAATTACGAGCTCAGAAGGAAGAAGAACAGAAAACTCACGCACATTAACGTCCAAGCTTCTTATTACTTCTTCCTTTAATTTGGCCATGGATTCTGGATTATCAGCTACTTTCAGTGCAGTTGAATGTTTATATAGATGACGCACGCACAGCAAAATTTGCACAGCAACTAAGTGTGGATTTCTGTTGTATTATTCCCATAATTCTTAACCACCATAGCCCGCCTTCGCATCATCATCATCAGGGAGGGGACAATGACTACTGGGGATGGGGAAAAGCTGACATTCATATTTTCTGCTGCATTTTACACATTCACGCACATTAAGTACAAATCTCACGCACATTAAGCGCAACACTCACGCACATTGAGTACAAATCTCACGCACATTAATCAACAGCACAATCGCACGGGAAGCATTCAACCGCACGGGAACCTTTCACTATATATATATATATATATATATATATATATATATATATATATATATATATATATATATATATATATATATATATATATATATATATATATATATATATATATATATATATAAGCGCACTCGGGTAAGAATTACTGTCCAGGAGAGAACTAGGAATTAATTTGAGTCATCTTTTGAGAAAGATCTAACGAATCATAAGTAATTTTTTAAAAAAATGCAATGAACGGAAACGTTCCCAATGTCACGAGCAGCCAAACATCATTGCTTAATAATTAAACCAAGATGCGAAAATAAATAAATAAGCATACAATTACCTCTCAAGATTAAACTATTCTTAAATAAATAAATAAGGTATTATATATATGCTAATAAATTCACTCATTTACATAATACAATGAATAATTTTAATTACAAGAGTAAATTACAAATATCTCCTTAAAACATTCGGACTAAATATCTAGCAAATAATGAGAGAAAATTTGTTTTTCTCCCACAGTTCCATGATATTTTGGTCATATATATATATATATATATATATATATATATATATATATATATGAGTCATTCATCAGAAATTTTAAACTAATGTTATGTGTATTCTCTGGAGTTCAATCATTCATTCACTGAAATTCAATGCATCATTGATAGAGAACAATTAAAATTCAATCACTCATATATTGCCCTGAATATAATGAGAAAACTGTTGAGTATATAATATATAAACATAAATGTGCAATTCAACAATTAGCTTATAATTAGACTTTTAGTTAAGATGGAGTACATGCTTTAATTTGGTATCAGAGCCAACCTCATATCAAAGGTCATGCATGGGTAGGGATGTCAAATGGGCTAGCCCACTGGGTTTTGGGCTAGCCTTACAGGGTTGGTGGACTTGTTGGTTTGGACTAAATGGTTTTTTATTTTTTATTTTTGAGTTGGGTTGGCCCTAACCCTAAACAACGGGTTGTTGGGCTAATCCAACGGGCTAAATCAATAAACAAAATTTTTATTACAAATAGAGTAGGTTCATAACTATATATATATATATATATATATATATATATATATATATATATATATATATATAGTGTGTGTGTGTGTACAGTGTGTATATATATATACTGTGTATATATAGTGTGTGTGTGTGTGACTGTGTACAGTGTGTGTGTGTGTGTGTGTGTGTATATATATATATATATATATATATATATATATATATATATATATATATATATATATAGTGTGTGTGTGTGTACAGTGTGTATATATATATATATATATAGTGTGTGTGTGTAGTGTGTGTACAGTGTGTGTGTGTGTATATATATAAATATAGTGTGTGTGTGCAGTGTGTGTACAGTGTGTGTGTGTATATATAAATATAGTGTGTCTGTGTACAGTGTGTGTGTGTATATATATATATAGTGTGTCTGTGTGTGTATATATATATAGTGTGTATGTATAGCGTGTGTGTAGTGTATTTTTTTTTTAATGTTAGTGGCTCTATTACATTGTAGTATCTGTTCATATACTTTCTCAACCTACTGAAACACAAAGAACCAATAACGCCTCCACTGAGGCTCAAACTCACAACCTTCCAAATGAAAGTCCAACCCGGGTACCATTAGACCACATAGTCTTGGTTAATGTGTGTAGTGTATAAAAGTACATTATTTTATATATACTATCAAATAATGTATCTTCAATACACAAATAATGTACATTTATTATATTAAAAATGTACCCTAATAATGATTGGATATTACACGGGCCAGCTCAACAATCCATGAGCTGGCCCAACTCAATCCAATAACCCGATAGGGCCAACCCAATGAGCTTACATTTTTATTGGATTGATCTTTTTGGATTTTAGCCCTGCAATTTTTAGGGCTTATTGGGCCAGCCCATTGGTTCAGGGCTAAATTGACATCCCTATGCATGGGTTTGAATCTCCGCGCCACACGATAAAAAAGAGACTATAATTCACGTGTTGCTTGGAGCTTATCAAAAAGTAATCGGGCCCGCACACATATATATCCGACTATCAGCTTAGCCTTTTTGTTGAGATGGAGCACATGCTTCAATTATGCTTTATAAGATTCCTCTTCTCCGTTTTAGTTGAGATGGGGCAGATGCTTCAATTATGCTTTATAAGATTCCTCTGTTCCCTTTTAGTTGAGATGAAACACATATTTCAATTATGTTTTATAAGATTCCTCTGCTCCCTTTTATTTGAAATGGAGCACATGTTTAATTATGCTTTATAAGATTCCTCTGCTCTGTTTTAGTTGAGATGAAGTACATGCTTCAATTATGCTTCATAAGATTCCTCTGCTCTCTTCTCCTCTGCATAGGCAAAACAAACTGTTTGTTAATCTTGAATCAATAATAATCTATCCAAACCAAATTGTTAGTCTTTTTCACTTCTATACAAATATTAAGAGAATAATAATAATAATAATAATAATAATAATAATAATAATAATAATAATAATAATAATAATAATAATTATTATTATTATTATTATTATTATTATTATTATTATTATTATTATTATTATTATTATTATTATTATTATTATATTTGCTGAATTGTAAATGATTCAAAATTAAAGTAAATTAATAAGAGTATTGTATATTTGTATATATATGTGTGGGCAAGTGCATAACAATTAATATGTCATTCTATATTTCTATGCATTGAAATAACATACCTAGTAGTGGGTTGCAAGCGGTGATTATGTCTTTCACTTTCGCAGTTAAACTGGATAGTTCCTTTATTAGCTGATTTTGTGGCCTGAAATTAACCGTCAATCTTTTAACCACAATAACTCAGTGATTATTATGTGCTTATAGTAATAAATAAGTCTAAACAGCTAAGTAGAAAATAGTTTCAACAAATGAAGAGTCTTAGCATACTTGATTCCCATCATAAGAAGGTGGCCGGGCAAAATGTGTTGCATAAAGAACGTAACACTTCTTGCAATCCAGTAGTTTGTAATAGGTAACGTTGAATTTTGTAGCGCAGAGGAATACGATAGTTGATTGTTGTGATCAACGATACATTTGGCGAGATCTAAGATGGATTTGATGGAGTCGTCAACTTGTTTTCGATTATCAAAGGATAGTACTATGTTTACACTTCGCTTGAGAAGTGCCAATCCTTTCACGTTGGATTCTCCATGGATAATGGCGAAAGAAGCAAGCATCATTGTTAGCTTGGCTTCCCATGAATATGTGGACAGCGTGCTTAATAGACAGATTACGGTTGAGTGTAGACCTTGCTTGCTCAAACATTTCAATACTATCTAAAAATGAAATTATCAAAATTAAAGAAAGTGACAAAAAAGATCAGGTTGGCTTCATTTTACATAAACTTGTGAAGTAGAAAGTCCTCCAACAAAATACTATGACTGGGCTATTGTTGGGCGAAGGCCAGTAAGGGCCAAGTCTAGCACCATGTGGCTAGGGGATTGTTGGGTGGATGCTGGTAAAACGTCAAGTCCAATATCTTGGCTCTCAAAAATGTGTAGCGGTATAAAAAAAAAAAAAAATAAAGCTTCGCTACTAGCTTTAGCATTTGGCCTATTGGTAAGCGTTTGATCCTAGCAGCTATATACTATAAAATTGTGGACACGTACATAATATATATAATGAGTAGGTTAAGTTATCTAACCTTTTTGAGGATGAAAATATTATCCGCAATAGGATGCAAAAAATTGACATTGAAATCTCTGCCATCAAGGCCGTGTGCTTCTACCCAAGCATTCTCAATTTTAACACTTTCATCAATGTGTATAGTTGGTAGCTGCCTCTGAAGTTCTGAGAACATCATTGCTAGATTAATTTGTGAATTGTGACAGAAAGGGGGTTTAAGTTACGTTGTACATTGTACAAGTACGAGGATGCCTATAATCCATTTCCTTTATATAGCATATCAAATTGAATAAAGAAGGAATAAATTCCTTGCTTCATGAATGTCTAAAGTTGTATATTAATTTGCCTGCTGCTTTAATTTGTAGTCATCTCCTTTATATAAAGTATATATGAAATTGAATATAATAAATTAGGAATTGAAGAAATATATAGCTTCCTTGCTTCATACGGAACTTATACATACATACATTAGAGTTTATCGCATTTTTTGGTCCCACGACTATAGTGTCATTATCCGGACTAGCTGATCCACAACTTTCAAACATTGCAATCTCGGTTCATGACTATTGTTTTTGTTTTTTTTGTTTTTGTTTTTTTTTTTTTTTGCAAAAAAATAGTCCTTCCAGCCCATTTTTTGTCTGACAAAAATGGCCGGAAGGACTTTTTTTTGCAAAATAATAATAATAATAATAATAATAATAATAATAATAATAATAATAATAATAATCGTGGACCGAGATTGCAATGTTTGAAAGTCATGATCAATCTTGATAATGCCACTATAGTCGTGGGACCAAAAGTGCGATAAACTCCATACATTATATAAAGAGTTCGACTCGGTGCATCCTCTATAATGTTTAAACTGTTGATCTTATAGTTGCATTGCTATTATGCGTACCAATTGTATGAAACTATTTGGTTAAATTACAACGCAATAACCTTAAAAGGGATGGTCAAATGGCTATAGTATGATTTTTGTACATTGTCACAAAAAAAAATAAAAAAATAAAAAAATAAATCAGTTCTTGCCATCGTCTCTTGCACGGTTTGTAAGATAAGAGTGGTGTTTACTCACTACACAAAATTAGTTAGTGGCTATGGGTTTCCCTCATCATCACAAAAAAAAATAAAATAAATAAATAAATAATAATAATAATAATAATAATAATAATAATAATAATAATAATAATAATAATAATAATCGTGGACCGAGATTGCAAGGTTTGAAAGTTGTGGATCAATCTTGATAATGCCACTATAGTCATGGGACCAAAAGTGCGATAAACCCCATACATTATATATAGAATTCGACTCGGTGCATCCTCTGTAATGTTTAAACTGTTGATCTTATAGTTGCATTGCTATTATGCGTACCAATTGTATGAAACTATTTGGTTAAATTACAATGCAATAACCTTAAAAGGGGTAGTCAAATGACTATAGTATGATTTTTGTACATTGTCACACAAAAAAAAAAAAAAAAAAAAAAAAAAAAATTAGTTCTTGCCATCGTCTCTTGCACGGTTTGTAAGATAAGAGTGGTGTTTACTCAGTACACAAAATTAGTTAGTGGCTACGGATTTCCCTCATCATCACATAAATAATAATAATAATAATAATAATAATAATAATAATAATAATAATAATAATAATAATAATAATAATAATAATAATACAATACAATTCATTTTCTATTGAAATAGAAATTAAATAAACATGTTAAATTTCATATTTAAAAATCTTTGATTTTCTATTTATGTTCTAATATTTAAAGCATTGCAATTTATTAAAGAAAAAAAATGACTTGGACTTAGTTTTACCAAGACGAAGTGAATCTTTGAAATTGTGGGGAGTGAATCATAAGATTGTCTACAGCATCCAGTGCAATGAAGAAAAAGTAAAAGTAAAAGCAAAACCAAGTAACTTAACAAAAGAATTGGGAAATTAAAGTAATTAGAAACCTTTTCTTCATACTTCAAATATACTCAAAGTATAACCAATAATATTAAAAAAAAAAAAAAAAAAAAAAAAAAAAAAAAAAAAAAAAAAAAAGCATTATTAGTTAAACAAATGACTGGAAAGATAGAACTCGCTAGTTCCTGCTCTTTTTCTGTTTTCTTCTAAACAAAAAGCATTCTCTTTTGCAAAGGAAATCATGCCATCTTGTCTTTTGGTCTCTCCTGACGGTATTATTTGATATATGCTGAGTCATTTAGGATTCGTTAGAAAATCGGAAAATGATTTTGAACTCATTTTTGGATTTTTTTTTTCTATTTTGGTATTCAAATAAAATAAAGTCAAAAGAAAAATATTTATTCAAGTTTACGAAAAATGTCTAATTTTGTGAAAACATGTCTTCTAGATTTTTAGTCGAAAGACATTTTCAAGATTCTTTATTTTCTTGTCTCTCTTCTCCATCATGGCTAGTCTCAAAATTATTATTAGAACCACCATCACCATCACCACCACCACACCACCCTATTATTATTATGTGAGAAAAGAAATCAATTTAAATTAAATATATATGTAATGCTCCTTGACATTAGAAGAGTGAGAATTCTATTAGAGAAAAATATAAAAATTCGAGGAAAATTAAATTTAATTAGTAAAGAAACTTCGTCACTTCTAAAATTTCGTAAAGAATTCCATCTTAAAGACATCCATACTCAAGGGGGTCAAAATAAGTTTATAGGTGCACCAAATAATCATAATGCTTATGATGAGGAATGAATAGATCTAAATATATTTGGAAAATGATAAGAATCTAGTTTGTAAGTGTAAAAAATGTTATACACTAAAACCTTTTTAGTTGGCATTATTAGTTGACATATCTAGTGGTTGTCATTATCTGGATCTAGTCCAGGTTATGGATCAGTACAAGCTGGCTGGATCACAATCAGGATGCACTCCAGGAAGAGAGAAACTCATTCAAATGACTTGTTAGTTTCAGACCCTATTTCTATGACTTTCTAAATCATGTGGTGCAGCTTCTCTTGAGGATTTGGTTGCTGCACAATTTCATACAAGAGAGTTCTAAATTATTTCTATAAATGGCTCTCTCGGGTTCCCTTCCAACTAGCGAATTAAAGAGCTTAATCTCTATGATTTATTACTCAAATCATCCTTTGGTTATCTTGATTATATTATCAGTTTTTATTGAAGGTGTTGAAGACATCTTGGCAAGCTTTTTTACTGAAGTTGTTAGCATGCACGTCCAGTTCAATAGGATGATGTAAGATACGCTGGAGTAGCTAGTAGTGTACCGTAGTGTGTATTGTGCTCCCCCATTTGTACTCCTTATTTGATCATTTAGTGGATGGGGCTGACGTGAGTTGCCCCGCAGACGTAGGAGTGTGGCTCCGAACTACGTGAACATTTCCTAGTGTCTGGTTCCCTTATCTTTCATTATCTTTTTATTGTGGTTTTGGCGCAGTTTTTGTATCTTATCCAGAGTTAACAATTGATTTTAAAATTTAATAGAAACCACTTAGGTTTTGCTTGCATTCAAGATCCATGATCTTTTTCATAGTTGAATTAGAAATTGTCATGAATATGAGAGTAATTTATAATAAAAATATAACAGTTGTCGACAACACGCACATTTGCCTTTGCCTTTGCAATTGCTCATGTTATATGATAATCTGGACCTAGAACTTGAAATAGTAGTGGAGCGCTAGAAGCATGCGCCTTAGCTATTCAAAATAGAAAAGAACAATTAAGACATAGCTTAGCTCACTAAGAAGAAATATATTATCTTTATAACATATACACCAAAAAATATTATCCCTACGGGTTACACATGGGTGTTCATATGATAGAGAAATGAGCATATATTATTAGGTGATGTGACATAAAAAGAGATTATGAACATTAATCGAGGATGATTTTCCACTTTTTCCCAAGATAAAAAGCACGCCAAAAAGCCAAGTTTTGAGCAACACCAAAAGAAAAAAAAAAAAATCATTAGTCATTACACATTGGATAAATACTACTCGTTTGAATTTCATTTTTGTCCAACGAAAAAATTCATACAAGTCTATAAATACATCATTTCAAATTGAAAGAGGTGTTGGTCGTTTTCATAAGTTATACAAGAGATAAAAAAGAATTGAAGTGTTACAGGATCAGAGAAGAGTGGAGTAGACTCAGTTAGTCGAACCACTATAAAAGTTCTCTATCTCTCTTTTACATTACCATATTTACTTTCGCGTTTACATTTACAAATCTCTAAATCTTAACAAGACAAGATCAGAACGTGTCATAAAATAGAGCAAATATCAATTTTGGTCCCATGAGTATTAGCAAAATGACAGTTTTAGTCCACAAGTTTAATTTCTACCAATTTTCATCCACTTGTTTTAGTACCAATTTTCATCCACGATTATTGTTTTAGTGCCAAAATTCATCACACTGGTCACCCATCCGTTTCAGATATGCCGAAATATGAAATTATTAAGGGTATTTCCTTCATTTTCAAATTAAGATCTCAATTTGAGCATGAATAAAGGAATTTAAGCCCTAAGATCGATCCCAATTCACAGTTTTCTTCCTCAAATTAAGGTTGGATGAAGGGGATAACTGCGAATTGAGATCGATTTTAGGGCTTAAATCTCATTATTCATGTTCTATTTAGGATCTTAAGTTGAAAAGGATGAAAATACCCTTAAAATTTTTTGATTCCGTCATGTCTTAAACGAATAAGTGACCGACATGATGAATTTTGGCACTAAAACAATAGTCGTGGATGAAAATTGGTACTGAAACAATAGTCGTGGATGAAAATTGGTAAAAATTAAACATGTGGACCAAAACTGTCATTTTGCTTATACTTGTGGAACCAAAATTAGTATTTGCCCCATAAAATATTTAAAAGGGTATAACTTAATTCCGCAGCATACTCTAACTTAATTTTTGACCAAGCAATTTGAAATACAACATCACTCTTCTTGGAGTTGTGACGAACTCTTAATTTCCTAAGCCTTGCACCTAGAAAAGAAATTCAATATCACCACTCTATTCACCCGTCCTCTAGACTTGGCTACATACCATTCAGGAACAACACACAGACACATGGGTAGGATCAAATGATCGGGTGAGAACAGGGTCCATCGATAAAAAGTAAAGACTGATCTCAGCCACCCATCAAGATTTATCAATGGTTGAGGATTATATATATATATATATATATATATATATATATATATATATATATATATATATATATATATATATATATATATATATATATATAAGGTCAATTTTATAATTATTGAAAAATTTTAAATTTTTAATATTTATAAAAAGAACCTCTCCCTTTTCTCTTATTTTCTAGCACCCCTCAATCGTTGATCTACCTAGATGGATGGATAAAATCAACCCTCAGTTTTTACGTGGGAGCATGTTCTCACCTGGATCATCCCCTATATGTGCGGATATTTGTATGTGTGTCTATAGGGGTTAAGTGAAAACAATGCATTTTGTAAAAGAGACTGTAGTCTCATTCGTCCATTTGGGATTATCAATGAGTATAAAGTAAGGAGAAAAATGTTATGGCAATTTCATAATTATTGCACACTTTGAACATGCACTAAGCAAAGCTTCATAGTGCATCCTTTGATATATGTTAAAGTGCAACCGACTCACATATATTATTATCTATACACTCTGAAACTTTCTTAGTGCATGTTCAAAGTTTGTAATAATTACAAAATTTTCATGACGTTTTCCATTAATTTAGAGTTGTTGATCATCTGAAATCAACAACTAATTTAATATTAGTCCTTTTTTTTTTCTTAATAGTGAGACTTGTTCTCACTTTAATATGCCACCATATATATGTGATCGAATGCTTGCGTGTTACGTGTAGGAATTAATCTCATTTGTCCATTGCAAAATAATAGATTGATGAAATCTATACTTGAAAAATAATGTGATGAAATTTTTATAAATATGTAGAAATTAGATTGATCATCTAGGAGAAAAATAACATAGTTTTGGAGAAAATCAACATCATTTTCGTGAAAAAACATCATTTGTTTGGTGAAAAACTATACCATTTTGGAAAATTTGCAAAAGTTTAAATCAAATCTGAAAAATACAAACCCTAAAACAAAAGGTTATGGCCGGGATCAAATTCAAGTTGTGTGACACTCACTCTTTCCTTAAAACTTTATTTGCTACCTCACAATGAGCTAGCTAGGAGTGTTGTAGCCTAAGTTTTTCAGGATAAAACAAATTTCTGATTTAAAAGTTGAGCACTCAATTCCAATAATATTAAATCCAGCAAATAAGAACAAGAAAGAACCCAAGTTCTTTTAGAGGAGGTAAAACAGAAATTTAGAGAGAATAATTTTCAAGAGACAATTAATTTCGTAGTACTACCATCGCCTCAACACTCTTCGTATGAGTGTCTTCTCATCTCAATTGAAAAAATGTGGTATGGTCCATAAAATTAGCATAACGTAGCCTAATCATTATACCATTTTTCCAACTCAAATGGATATGCTTTGGGGCTCAATTTCTCATTCACCCATTATCCATTTCGAACGTACAATATATCATTTTTTTCGTCTCACTTAGAAAAATCTAAATCTACTTTGACCCGACCCAAATCAAAAGTGAACCACACTAATATATTTGTACAACAAAATAGTCACTTAAAATATCATTTTATACTAAAATTTCCAACATAAACTATAGATTGCTGTGTCTTTTAATTTTTGAATGAGTTCTGCTGTTTTCCCCACTAGGTGGCCGGGGTTGGGTGGGGAAAAAATGATGGCATTTTTATAACTTAATCACAACAATATATAAGCATCACTACTGGAAATTATGGAATTTCCGACCACCTGAAAGTGATCTTAAATCAAATCTAAATAAAAAGTGGTCGGAAATAGCTATAAAGGTTTTTCCAGACACCAAAAGTGGTCGGAACAAGACTTTTGACATGATTTTTGATTATTTTCAGGTGATCGGAAATTGCATAATTTTCAACCGTGCATACAATTGTTCCTCAAGAGTGTAACAATTCTTAACTAAATTACTCAATATATATGTTAATATTATACACTCAATTACGTAATACAATGAATAATATTAATTACAACAATAAAAAAATAAATTACAAATATTTCCTAAACCATTCGAACTATATATCTAAAGTTCTAAACAAATAATGAGAGAGAATTTGATTTTCTCCAACATTTCCATGATTTTTTGGTCATGGGTCATTCATCATCAGAGGAGCCACAGCTTATTTCTTAAAATTATAAACTAATTTAATTTAATGTGTATTCTCACCAATCTTCCATGATTCCTTGTATCTATGAGCTTATATCTTTCCCTGAACTTAATGAGAAAACCAATCTTCTCATTACATGTTGAAGCAAGACGATTAGAAGCAGTTATCTGAATAATGTTTGAAACATGAAAAAATGCTTTTTACGATTCTTCGGATTTCTTCTCCTCTGCATAGGCAAAACAATCTGTTTGTTAATCTTGGATCAATAATATAATAATCCATCTAAACCAAATTGTTAATCTTTTAACTTCTATACGAATATTAAGAGTGTAATAATTATTTATATTTGCTTAATTGAAAATGATATAAAATAAGTACATTAATAATTGTAATATAACTGTCTGTGCAAGTAACATATACCTAGTAGTGGGTTGCAAGCAGTGATTATATATCTTTGATTTTGGCAGTTAAATTGGACAGTTCCGTTATTATCTGATTTTTGGACCTGAAATCAACCGTCAAGCTAAAAGATTAGCTACAATAAATAAATATAAAAACAAAAAAATGAGTAAATGTGTACTTATAGTAATAAATAAGTCTAAAGAGCTTATAAGTTGAAAATAATTTCTAACAAATGAAAAATCTAAGCTTACTCGATTCCCATCATAAGAAGATGGATAAAACGTATTGCATTAGTAACAACACTTCTTGCGATCCAATAGCTAGCAATTGGTAATGTTGAATTTAGTGATTGTGGTGTAGAGTAATGCGATGATTGTTTTACTTCCCTTGAGAGTTGCCAATCCTTTGACGATGTTGAATTCTCAATAGTTGATCGTCAAAGAAGCAAAAATCGTTGTTAGCTTATCCTCCCAAGGATAGGTTGAAAGCGCGATTAGTAGATATATTACAGTCGAGTGTGGATCTTCTTTGCTCAAACATTTCACTACTATCTAAAAATAATTAAATTGATCAAAGGAAAGTGACAGAATATAATCTAACGTAACGATACTGAATTGAATTTAGGAGAAAATTATGAAAATTCTATACTAAATTAAATACACGTAGATAATATTTTCCCACCTTGTACCCAGAGACATATAATGAGGCAGACTAACCTTTTTGAGGATGAAAATATTTAACCAGATCGAATACAATGTATAAAATTGACATTGAAATCTCTGCCATCAAGGCTGTGTGCTCCCACCCAAACACTACACTCCATTTTAACACTCTTATCAATGTGAAGATCAGAGTTGGTAGCTGCCTTTGATGTTCTGAGAACATCATTGTTAGTTTGTGAAAGAAAGTGTGGTTAAGTTGTACATTGTACAAGTACTAGGATGCTCATAATCCATTTCCTTTATATAGCATATCAAATTGAATAAAGAAGGAATAAATATAATTCCTTGCTTATGAATTGAATGTTGTCTAAAGTAGTATATATTATTTTGCCTTCTGCTTTGTATTCATCTCCTTTATATAAAGTATGAAGTTGAATAAAATAGGAAAATACATATATAGAGAGGAAGCCGTTCAGGTGAGAACGGGTTGCCCAGAGGAGAACAAAAAACCATTCACAATCGTCCACGTGTTCAGATCTAACGGATCATAAACACTAATTTAACAAAAAATATGTGATGGCATTTTCGTAAATAATTGAACATTGAAGTGTAAGTAAATTGTGTTAAAAGTAAAAGTAACAGTTTCATATAGTCCACCTAAGTGCAAGCAAAATGTATTACAAGTGCAAGTAAAATGTATTACAAGTGCAACAAATAATATACACTGAGCATCAATATTAAGTTCACCTAGTTATCATTAGTTGCACCAAACATTATCATTAAGTGCACCTATGTAAAAGATTTTATCATTAGTGAAAATAGTTGCACTTGTAAGTGATTTTACTTCCACTTTTTACTTGCAAACTTGCACCAGTTACTTACACTTTTAACACATTTTACTTGCACCAAAGTTCGAGTTATTTACGAAAATGCTACGGCGGCGTTTTTTAAAATTACATCAGATTTGTTGAATCTGGACTCGTGGACGACTGCGATTGGTTTTTAATTTTTTTTCCTGGACACTCTGCTAAGTACTGATGTCTAGGAGAGAACTAGGAACTAATCTGAGTCGTCCGATCATTTTAGAAAGATCTAACGGATCATAAGTAATTTAAAAAATGCAGTGATATTTTTGTAAATAACTCAAACTTTGAAGTGTAAGTAATTTAGCTTTCACATTCTGTGCAATTAATGATAACGTCAGTTGCACTTAATGATTGGCAATTAATGATGTATTTGTATTTTATTTTTATTTTTTTTGGTAGGGGAAAGGGACCTAGGGCCCCCAATGATGTATTTGTATTGTTCCACTTTATGATGTTGTTAACAACACACCATGATATTATTACTTGCACTTCAAAATTTAGTTGCAAGTGTGTTAGTAATATCACTATATTATGCAACTATTTATACTATAAGAGGTAAGTAATTTACCTTTTTACATTCTGTGCAATTAATAATAACATTAGGTGTACTTAATATTGTTGTTCAAATATATACATATAAATTGAATAAAGAAGGAATAAATTCATTGCTTCATGAATGTCCAAAGCATATTAATTTGTGTGCTTTTGTTAAAGGAGCAGAGTAAGAAGGAACAGCTCTTCCTTGCTTCAAAAGGACGTTTTATTTTTAATTTTTGATTTATTATTTTATTTGATATTTTTTTCACAACATTGTATGTTCCATATTCATATCAAACGAAGAGGAACGGACACTCATGACGGTATTGCGATTTGCAACATTAGCCTTCACCCTTCGCCTCTATTCTCGCCCATCGCCACCGACCACCGTAGTATTAAACGCCACCGTTGAAGTAATATGCTATTTTTTGGTTTAGATTCGTGTTTCGTGTTTTTTTTTTTTTTTTTTTTGGAATTTTATGTGCTTTGTGCTTTCTTGATTTCTTGTGTGTTTTTTTTCTAATATGAAATTCCAAAAATTGAAACGTAATTCTAGTGTACTGGAATTTCGTTCCTGTACACTGGAATTTAATTCCATTCCAGTAGTTATCATTCCAATTAGTCAGAGTAACTTTACAATGTTTTTGTTTTTTTTTTTCTTGAATATTTTGGCTATTTATTACAGATAGATGATTCATCATCTTGTTATCGAAAAACACTCCAAGTGAGCCAATTAAAGAGCCGATCATGCAAAAAAGAAAACGTTCAAACAATGGACTTCCACCAAAACTAATTGCTCCAAGGTCTGAGGTATGGACTCACTTTACTAAATTAAATGACAACAAAGATAAGTGTACATGTAATTATTGTGGTAAAGAATTGAAGTAGTGTCACTAGTAGCTTGAAAGCACAAAATCAAAGATGTATTGTATTTAAGGACCATTTTGATAGTGCAACTCAAAAAATCTAACAGTACATTAAAGTGCAAGTGTTGTTAAGGGTGGTAATAGTAATCTTGTGACGATTGAGTTTAACCATGATGCTAGCAGGGGAACTGTTAAGATGATTATTTTAGATGAATCGCTTTTTTGTTTTGTGGATAGAGCGGGGCTTGAAGAATTTTATAGTGTTGTTTGTCTAAAATTTATTATCCTTTCAAAAAGAACAATCACAAGAGATGTAGTTGAATTGTACATGAAAGAAAAATCTTTACTGAATAGCATGATTAGTTATTCAAGAGTTTTTTTTTACTACTGATATATGGACGACAAGTAGTACTACTGTCAGTTATATGGTTATCACTGCTCATTATATTGAAGTGAACTGACAGTTGTATAGAAAAAAGTATCAAAACTTATAATTATCATAATTGATAATTATTAGCTCAGAGCTGACAATTATTAGAACTAAAAATTATCAGAGTTGAGAATTATAAGAACTGGTATCAAAGCTAAAAATTATTAGAGGATCAATGATAATTATCATAAGAGCAAATACCAATTTTGGTCCCGCGAGTATTAGTAAAATGACAGTTTTGGTTTACATGTTTAATTCCTACCAATTTTCATCCAGGACTATTGTTTTACTACCAATTTTCATCCACGACTATTGTTTTAGTGCCAAAATTCATCACGTCGGTCACCACTTCGTTTAAGACATGCCGAAATATGAAATTATGAAGGGTATTTTCATCATTTTCAAATTAAGATCTCAATTTGAGTATGAATAAATGAATTTAAGCCATAAGATTGATCTCAATTCCCAGTTCTCCTTCTCAAATTAAGGTAGGATTGATGAGGAAAATTTAGAATTGGGATGGATATTAGGACTTAAATCTCTTTATTCATGCTTACATTTGGATCTTAAGTTGAAAATAATGAAAATACCCTTAAAAATTTTAGATTTCGGCATGTCTTAAATGGATGGGTGACCGGCATGATGAATTGTGGCACTAAAACCATAGTCGTGGATGAAAATTGGTATTAAAATAATAGTCGTGGATGAAAATTGGTAGGAATTAAACATGTGAACCAAAATTGTCATTTTGTTAATACTCATAGGACCAAAATTGGTATTTGCTCATTATCAGAACTAAAAAATTATCAGATCATAGTTGAAAATTATAGAAACTGATAATTATAAGTGCTAAAAATTATAATTATCAAATCACAGTTGAAAATTATAAAAACTGGTAATTATCAGAGCTAAAAATTATCAGAGGATCACTGATAATTATCAGAACTAAAAATTATCAGAGGATCACTGATAATTATCAAAACTGATAATTATTTCAGAATTGATAATTATCAGAACTGATAATTTTTCTATTCAACTGTCAATTCACATCAATATGATGAACAGTGATAACCATATAATTAACAGTAGTAGTACTTGCAGTCCATATATCAATACTAAAAAAATTCTTCACTCCCTAATCATACTATTCAATAAATATTTTTCTTTCATGTACAATTCAACTACATCTTTTGCTTGTAATTGTTTTCTTGAAAGAATAATAAATTTTGGACAAACAACACTACAAAATTCTTTAAACCCCGATCCATCCACAAAACAAAAAGTCAATTCATCCAAAATAATTATCTTAACAGGCTCCGCTCCATCCACAAAACAAAAAAGCAATTCATCCAAAATAATCATCTTAATAGGCTCTGTTATAGAATGTTTAATATTGATAATCCTATATATTAGGAAACCTAGAGATTAGGGTTTGAGGTGTATGGAAACTTCCATATCAGTTGCCATCTTGCCCATACATATATAGAGAGCTGAAATCTCCGTAATGTGTGCGTGAGACAGAGAGATTACTCCAAGGTATTTTATACTAAAACCTATTCACATGGTATTAGAGCCACTTCAATAATCTTTTTTTTTTCCGGCGATCTCCTGTCGTCACCGCCGGTTCAGAAGGGTCCGCTGGAGTCCGGCGACCACAGCTGCAGAGTTTCGCGGTGAACTGCCCTACGCGTGGGCCTCACACGCCGCCGTCGCCGCCGCCACCTCCTCCACGCGCCGGCGCGTGGGCCGTCTCCGGCCACCGGAAAATCTTTCCGATGAACGTTTCTGGGTCGCCTAAGTCCCCTCTTCTCAGTTCTGGACTTAGTTTGGACCATTGCTGCTCCGGTTTTAAGGTTAGGTTGTTTCGTACCTCTTCAGGCTCACTTTTCGGCATAGATTCTGATCTGTTTGGGCTCAAGTTTTGGTGGGTATGGCTGATAATAAATCTGTGGTTGTAACTGATATTGTCCCTGTGACTTCTAAAATCACGGATTGTAAGCTTAATGACTCTAATTACTTGGAATGGACTCAAGTCATTAA